CCCTCCCCCCCTTCCTCCCTTCACGAAGTTGAAAACACTCACTTTTTCCACGGCGCCGTCCAACACGATTTGAATCTCTCTTTCGCTTCCATTCCCCCCCTCCCAGTCCTTCATGTTGTTGTGGTTCGAAGAGCGGATTGGGATATCTCGGTTTCGCGGTGGTTCGCTCAGACGTTTGCTTCCTCGTGTTATTGCGGAGAACACTAGGCTTGTACCTGCGGCCCGCGACTTTTAGGACAAAGCTGAAGCTAGCTACTGTAGACACTCGCAGCAAATGTGCAAGAGCTACCAACTACCCCAGTTGAGTGAGTTTGGGACACGATACTTGATCCCTAAACCATAACATATTCTTCTGAAGAAGTCACTTGCGCCTCCACCCTCCACAGCTGACTGTCAAGACACACCCGGGAATTCCCCGGCGAATGGAGGTGTCTTTGGTTGGCCAAGGTGCATGATTGGGGTGACGTTTTCCCACAACGAGTTCAGGTAGTAGTGCTTGTCCAAACGGTGGCAATAACTGTCTCGTGACCAAGTAACTTACGATGGTGGACGTCTTTTCGGAGTTCATATTTGCAAAGGAAGCAGTCTATACGCCTTCGACTATCCGATGGGGTAACACTGCTCAATTTTCAAGCAAACCCTACCAAAGATTTCCTCTCGCTGCCTCGTTATTGATTTTCCCGTGTGCGTGTCTTAGTCTTAGCAGGTGTCCCTTACGACTTACGTGTCTTGCGGGCCAGTGGCCCCCCGCGCGCTATCAAACCCCCTCTTCGACTCCCAGACCACTGCCATGCGCAAGGGAAACTCTCTGTACGCCGTGAATGCCAAGGTGGGCGTGGCGACAGAGGACATCGCCACCATGGCGTACGCGATTGTTCGTGCAGTCCGAGACAGTGGGTAGCTGGCGTGCCTCCGCCTCCAATAGAGCTCTTTAGTCGTAAAAAAAGAGGCGAGTACAGGAAATCGAAAATGGCGAACGGCTACGAGCCGCTCCAACGTTGCGCCTCATTGCTATGATCCTTGTCGCAGCACGGTTGTCACCGCGCACGGCGAAGATTCCTTGTTTTACGAAGCTGCAACGTCCCATCACCCTCGGAAAGCTAGTCTAAACCTACTGCTTGTACGTTTGACGCACAAGGGCCTGGCGGCGAACATAAGCACCCCCCTACAACTGGCAGTGCTCCAGCCAACCCCACATCATGCCGCGGAAAACGGCATGGCTAAGCCGAAGCTTGGCAAGAGGGAGTCAAAACGCAGCACGTCTGTACGACGTGTACCATTCATTCCTGGAGGGAAATCTCGTGCGCAAATATGCATCCGTATACCCAGGCAACTGCCCCCAATTCTACAAGCGCGCTTTGTCTACGCAGACGGAACTTGTGCCATCATCCTCGCGCCGGTGTTCACCACAGGTACCTACAGCGTCACACAACTTTCGACGACTGACCACCAAGTGGCGATGCCACAACCCACACCGCACAAAGATATCGGGGCCGCCTTTGCAACACAGGTTGGCCCTTCCACAAATGCATCAGCAAAAGGGGCCACGCCATCACAACTTGGCTAGTGCTGCACGGGGCTGTGGCTGTCACAACACGCAGCCGCTGTCACTTAACACACACGAGCAAAATATATTTTGCGTACACACTCCAACAAACATAGCACCAATCACCGAACAGGCCACCACTAAGCCCAATACGACATACCACGAAGAACACCAATGCATTTTGGTGTGTTTCACGAAGCAAGAGCCTCCGCTTCGTCACGGACAAGTGATACCGACCTTACATCAGACGGACCAAAACAAAAAACTCACAGCAACAAAAAAAAGTGCACAAGCCGTGTTACATGCATTCTTGGCCACATGCAACGTGAACAAGTCCATGAAACATCTTGGCAAAATTGGTGCACACAACACATTTTCCTCTTGAAGAAGCTGTGTCCTGCAGAAGAGAGGAGTCCATTGTGTAACTGATAAGCTAATGCTATATCCTTTGCACACCATCTTGGGTACCCGACGATGGACGTGCACGCTGTACGATACGTACCCCTTGGTTGCAAAAAGCATCTGTGTGCACTGAAGCACAAACTCACACAATCATCACAAACGAACTCTCCATCAAACGCACAATGTTTAGAAAAGGGTGAATTGACGGCGGCGGCAAAGCGCCGTGCTGCACGGCAATGTATTGGAGAGCCACCTACCACCCACACATATACACAAAACATGCTGAACTGATGATCACTGAAAAAGCAACACTTTGGACAGAACAAAACCTTGCTGAAGAGCGTGGGCAACTTAGCGCCACTCCCTCATTACCCGCTGCAAAAAAATACGTGAACACAGCCATGAATCAACAAAAAGATGACTTCCAAGGAAGCGGCCTTGACACTGGCTTAGAGCGCTTATCACGCCCTTGACGAAAGTCGCCAAACGGTCACCGTTGTTGCCTCGCTTCCGTCGCACCCGATTGGGGACATTTTTTCCAAGTTAACGTTACTCTTATTGGTCCCTGTTTATCCTACGACCGTTGTCTGCACTGATGGGCTCGCATCTACTTCCCACTGCTTCAAGAGCCCGCTGTGGTCGCGAATCGGAATCTCCTACCGCTATCTCGCCCAACAAACACAAATCGACGAAACCGCAGACAAGACATAGTTTAGACGGAGAGCTGTAGTTGCTATCAGTGGGAGGGCAGAGGCCTCAGCTTCGTCATGGTGCCGTCGCGCCCCACTCACGGGAACCGGTCGTCCTGTGACGCGCCGATGGCCTTGGAGAACAACGTCAAGTGCGCTAACTGTCATCATTCGGCATGCCTGAATCAAAGGTGCACGAAACCAAACAAAACGGACGCATCCATCCCTACATTTTCTCATTCCACGGAAAGCGGCTAAGGCAGCGTCAACACCTTCGTTTTGTCCGTACTGACAAGCGTATCAAATGCATAGTTGCTCAGGAGAAAAAAATCAGATCAAAACAGAGAGGTAGGCGGGCAGGGCAGGGGGGCACGCTCGACTGGAAAGATGGGAAAAGAAATGGTGTCCACCCAAACGACAACGTGTCGCCTTTACCCGATCTACTCTGGGCCTCTAGCCCCTCTCATAGCACGCCTCCGACGCCGTCCTGCACGCCACGGGCCGTCGATGCTGACCGCCGAAGCCCTGTCTTTGAGGCCGATTGACTCCCTCAACAGCACCAGCAGCCGGCCGATGTTTGAGCTGAACGTGCCGACAAACAGGTCTGATACAAGCGCAGACGGTGTCGTCGAGGGTACGAGTAAGGGGGAAACACGCTTCTTTGGTACCAACTGGGCTTCCGAGAAAAACATGCTCGCACGATCGACACGAGACGCTGTCAAGACAAGGATGTGTAGCACGCCGTAAGAGTTGCCACGACATGCAAGAACCCGGACCCAACCCTACCGTGCCGCGTGCTCCAGCAAAAACGGAACGGTTTACGACAAAAATCCTAGCAAAAACGAAGGCCCAAAGCGATGCACCTCGCACTAGCCGCGGGGTCTCAGAGCAGCTCAGTACGTACACCTCAGAACAGGCCCAAGGCTACAAAACAAAATGGAAAAAAGGCAAGGAGCTCACCTGCGGCAGTGAGCTGCTGGAGGTCCGCGAACGTATACACGAAGTCCGCGTACGTCTGGGGCGTGATGAGGCGCGAGAAGGGAACGGGGGGAGTGGAGGAAACACCGACAGCAAAATGCACAAGCACATGGGCCGAGCGCCAAGTGAACACAAAACGGCCGATTCTACTTTAAACTTCAACGGGCAGCGAAAAAATTAAGCGCGAAACTAGGTTTTCTTGTATCGTCGGCCTCAGCCCCCGCACCGAAGGGCCTCTTGCCTACCACCTCGCCACTGTATGCGACCGAACCCCGCACGGTCGTGACTCAGAGGGTAGTAAAGACTGATGTGTAAAATGTTTTTAAAATTCTTTTTGAGTCGTCGAGGTTCTCGCTGGGCTCTTCGCTTCGAGTGAACAAACACGTGAGCTGCTGTGTGAGCTGTTGAGCTTGAGAAAACGTCACACGGAACCTGATCCTCACCTGTGAGTTGGCCCTGCTGCCTGCTTGTTTCATCTTGCATCACTACTTGATAACACTGCTGTGCTCTCGTAAGCCCACTCCGAAGGTGTTAATTATATGTTGTACCACTAAGCTAGTTATGATAGATTCTATTAGGTGTTGTGGGCAGAACAAAAACGAGGTATCATTGTCTTCTGGCCCCCTGTGTTTCGCTTTACCTCTTGGTCCGTCCGCGTAGCCGTCCGCTCGATCTCGGGCCCTCCTTCGACCCCGCCAGAGGCCCAGAAGATATCGCCTTCGCTCACGTTGGGCAGGTAGTCCTGCGCTATCTGCTTGACCTTGGCGATCACTTTGGGTTCGTCGGACGCGACCCAGATGCCCTTGATGTCTCCCACGCTAAGCTGGCTGTCGTTCCCCTCGAGGAACTCCACCGCCGTTTCCAAGTATTCCTGGGCGCGGGGGGTGACGGAGCGCACACAAGTGGATATTTCCATGCGAGTGGGAGGACAGAAAATGTCGAGGGAGGTGGTGTTCCTTCCCGCGTGTTTCTCCACAAGCAAGTGCTGGCGGTGCACACGGCACATTAAGAGGAGAAAGAAGCCTACTTCGCAGACGCACAGCGGAAGGGCTTGCGGGTTCGACAACATACACGAATAGCGCACGCTCATTACCAGCAACACAAAATAATTTGACCGTGATAGAACAGCACGACTACAGAGTAGCAAAACCTCCCTGAGAGAACCCTCGTGCCCAGCTCACTGCGCGGCAAAGCGAAGGGGGGGGGGGGGGGGG